CATACATGTGAATAATCAATGATGCCAAGTTTCTGAGAAATAAAAATTTCTCTGTTTCAGAAGGAATGGCTCCCTCATTTTTTGTTTAATCAATATGAATAAAAAGCATCTGCTCCTTTACCAGCAAAAAAACTGACCCATGTCTGGGAGAACAATCTGTACTCAGAAAAAATTAACCCAAGTCAGGGAGAACCACCCATTCAGATTTGAACGGCTGAAGTTTCCAAACACAACTGTTTTCTGTCAGGCATCTTCATCTCAGTGATGACATGGCCACAGCCCAAGGAACCTGTGGCAGGGATGCCAGGGTGAAGTAGCAGCAGCAGTCTATGAATATGGTATGGTGACAATGGTTTATTTATTTATTTATTGAAATATTTATTTATTCAGGCATACAAGAACTGGGGTACAGGCCAGATACGCAGGAGGGTGAGAGGATTCACCAGAGACAGAATGGGGAACAGAACAGGCAGACTGACGGAATACACTGCTGAGGGGAGCAGCTGGTGAGACAGGAGAGGTCTGCCGCGCCATATGGGATTCTCCCTGGCCAGCCGGGATCGAACCCACACAGCAGAGGCTGTGGACAGCTACACAGCGCTGCACTCAACCAACTGCGCCACCAGGGGAGGCCCTATTTATTTTTAAAAAAGATTTATTTATTTATACAAGAACCGGGGTGCAGACTAGATGTGCAGGAGGGTGAGCGGATTCACCAGAGACAGAGTGGGGAACAGACCAGGCAGACTGACGAAACACACTGCTGAGGGAAACAGCAGGCGAGACAAGAGAGCTCTGCTTCGCCATGTGGGATTCTCCCCGGCCGGCAGGGATCGAACCGGCGCTACAGAGGCTACAGGACAGCGTCACAGTGCGGCACTCAACCACCTGTGCCACCAGGGAGGCCCCGGTGACAGTGGTTTATAGGCCTCCAGACTCAGCTCTGTGTGGTGGGATTCTGCCTTCAGCAATTCACTAGGCTTCATGAAGTTGCCTTCCATGGTTTTCCAGTAGTTCTGGCTTTGTTGGGCCACGCCATAACCCTCTTTTGGCCCACAGATAGATCGGCCATATTGTTGTCTTATGACAGACAGCAGAACCTCGGAGGAATGCTTGGACCTCACCTCACCATACTCACCAGCAGGGCTCATTACAGATCACTGTCCAGTCATTCAGATAATCACCTTCACCTTCCTCACCAAAACACTCACTTCCTGGTTTCCAGAAAAAGGTGAGGTTACTATGGAGGTGACTAAGTATTGACTGTGGAGGTTTCCGCCAGTGCTGACATATGTCAGTTTGATGGGCTGGTCACATCTGATGGAGGTTCCCCTCTCACATACTGTGGCAGTCTTACCCAAATCCTTCAGTAACTGTTGCTGTCACCCACAGTGGTTACACCTGTCACTGACTGTTGCCCACCACCTGACCCTTAGTACACTTGGTGAGAGTGTAGTCCCATATTGTGGCACGCAGAGTAGCTTCATGCACAGAGCTCCTACATGCACTGGGTGCTCCTACAACACCCGACAAACCCTGAACAAAGTAACCATTACTTTGTAATGGTATCACAGTCATCTTGGCTGCTCCCCCAAATCCTTACCTAATTGTTGAAGAAAAAGTTGTACCTGTTTTCATAGTAAAGCTTACATTACACAAGTAGGAAAAACTGTCATGTGGCTTTAAGTCAATAGTTAGGTAATTTACAATGAATTTAGTTCTTCTTGGTTGAAATGACGTGTTGATAGGGCATGGTGATTGTCAAGGGAGTTGTGTTCAATACAGTGTGGCCAACGTTCCAGGGCTCAGTAAACAGGAATAGGCAATAATAAAGTCTTTTCATGACCATTCATACAGAAATATCCTCATTTTTTATGATGCCAAGATGTGAACATTGTGATCTATTGATCTTTTAACTTGCCCAGTTTATAGTTGCTTTATGTTTATTTTTCCTAGTAAAGCAAGAATTGAGCAAGTTCTAAGAAGCTGCCTCAAGAAGTACAATAAAACATACTTTCAAGTAATTTCTTCCTTTGCTTTACATTAAGTTTATACCACTGGAGACATGTCATGACTTATATGGTACCATTACCATAGCAAACAAGTGAAGGATATATTTTCTAAAACAATAGAACTCTGATATTTTAGTACTCTAGTTGATCCTATTGAATGTGTCTTAAAAGGCTCATAATCTACTAGCTTATGAAACTTAACACCTATTGGTTTTAAAACAAACTTTTGATGCCTGAAAATCTAACTTATGATAAACAAAAAATTGAAAAATAGTGTATTTTTTTTAAAAGATTTATTTATTTATGCATACAAGAGCTGGGGTACAGGCCAGAGGCGGGGGTGGGAAGGGGTGAAAGGATTCACCAGAGACAGAGTGGGGAGCAGAACAGGCAGACTGACTGAAATACACTGCTGAGGGGAGCAGCTGGTGAGACAGGAGAGGTCTGCTGTGCCATGTGGGTAGCTCCCTGGCTGGCCGGGGCATCGAACTCGTGCTGCAGATGCTGTGGCCAGCTTCATAGGCTGTGTCCTAACCCCTTGAGCCACCAGGGAGGCCCTAATGTAACTATTTTGTTATCAGAAGAATTAATATGAATTGCATAGCAAAACTTCTTTAGCTCGAATCCAGCCAGCTACCTTGTGGGGATTTTCTAGGACATGAGTGCTAACGAATCTTCTGTCAAGTTGCTTCTAAACTTCTCACACTTGTACTGTGGTACTGGGCTAGGATGTGCGTTTCTGAGCTGGTTCCCTAGCGGGCGCTGATGAGAAGCAAGAGCGTGTGGACGCCCTGATGCAGTTGGTACGTTTAATCGCTTCCCGCTCATACCCGTTGGGCTGACTTTTTAACTGCCATCTGGCTCCCGGGCCTGGCTTCCCACTCTGTCTGGTGCCCCCTGGTGCTCATCACCTACCTGTACAATCTTGAGTTGTTGCGAAGAGCAAAAGGGGTCCAGGGAGTTCGTGGATGCTTTCAAGAAAAGCATTCCATTACTGTGCACTCCAAGGATCCACATCTCCTCTACGTGGAAAGCCATAGCATGCATTACATGTGCACATCCACGCACCCCCAGAGAAAGCGGGGGTGTTGTTTCGCTAAGCTACTGAGCTAAAGAAAGATGGAAATTAAGTTTCAACCAACTAGGCAGAAGTCATCCCAGCTCTCACAACTTCATGGTAAAAGATACAGAGACATGTTGACTTTATCTTTTCTCGAATCTGTAACCTCTTCCCGCCCCCCAAAAGTTCTTTACTTTTTTTTTTTTCCCCCCCTGGCAAAGCAAAGAGCTTGTGTGATCCTTGATTTCAGTTAGGGCACTCAGCCCATCTTGGAGAGCCAGCATATCTGTGCTGGGGCAGGGGCTGAAAATGTGGCCTTAATTGTTACGGAAGGGAGGGAGGCGGTTAGAAGATAATTCTTCTGACCATTTAATCAATATTAGTAGCAGGCGCAATCTTCACAAAGTTTCTTTTACCCTGAGGGAGGACTCTTCAGCTCCTCTGACTCTCAGAGTTTAGGCTCCGGTTCTCCCGCTTTGCCTCTTCCCCCCACCCCCACACCCCTACAGTCCCTCAGCCCTGCTGCGGCTCTCTCCATTAAAGATGAACAACAGATCATTTTTCATTGCATGGCAACCCTAAAAGCTCTCTCTCGCCTCAGCAGAGCATGATGGGAGTCTCTCCTCTAGGGGTGTCCTCCCACTTCTTTTTTTTCTTCCTTTTCTTCTTCCACAATTAATCCCTAAATAATGATTTTTCTAACTAGCGCTGATTTAAGTACGGGGTTTAGCGACCCACGGTGACGCTCCCATCAGCCTTCCAGAAGGGGCGGTTTCCAAGGAAAACTACAACTCCCATGAGGCCTCAGGCGCAAGCCACCGCAGGGCATCACGGAAGTCGTAGGTTCCTTCTTCCTCAGTCCCTGTCAGTCCTCAAATGCCGAGACTACAAGTCCCAAGGCCCCTCGGTGCTCGCACGCCTGCGCGAGAGGCCTGCGACTGAGGTGGGGGTAGGGCTGGCCCGGCGGCGGGGGGGGGTCGGAGCGGGCTGTGTGGAGGCTTCAGACTCCCGGCGCCATTTAGCGCGGAGAGTTTCCCCGGCGGACGCGGCTCTTCTCACTCGGGCCACTCTGTACCCCCATCTTCGGTGACAGAAGGCGCCTGGTGGGGGTGACTACTCTTTCTTCTCCCCCCTCCCCCCAGTCCTCTCGGCCTCCTCTACCCCCGGCCCGAGAAGCAGCGGAGCCCGGGCTCCGCGCTGAGCGGCCCTCCCCTCCCCGCGGTTCCCTCCCTCCGGCAGCCCCCGGCACCGGCCCGGGCGGAGACCGGGGTTTGCCAGGCCCGGGGCGGGCGGGGAGGCCTCGGGGAAGGGGGGGCCCGCTCCTCAGGCTTCGAGGCTCCGGCCCTCCGCATCCGGGCGATGGGCGCCCGCTGAGGCTGGTGCCCCTCGCCGGGGGCGCGTGTGGGAGGAGGCGACCGACTGCCTGACTGACCGGGCGCCGGCCCGGCCCCCGCCCGCCGCGGCCCCTCCCACCCGGCCGGCCCCGGCGCTGCCACCGCTCGGGCGTCGGAGCTCGTCCCCTCCTCGCGGCGCCGCCGCCCTCGGGGCCTAGCCCGCCCGGCCCGCCCAGCCCGGGAAGCGGCGGCGGCCGGGACCGGAGCGCGGCCGCGCCCGCCGCATCCGCTTCGACTCGGTGCCGGCCGGCGGCCCTGCCCCTCATGACGGCGGCGCCCGCGCTGCCCCTGCCTTCCCGGCCGCCGCGCGCCGCAGGATGGATGCGGACCGTGCGGCGCTAACCCCCGCGGCTCCGCTCCTCGCCCGCCCGCCGACGAGCCCGCCGAGCGCGCCGCAGCAGGGCCGGCTGTCCCGCCTCGCCCTCGGGGCGGCCTGTCAGTGCTGAGGAGGAGGCGCCCGGCCGCCGCGACCCCCGCGCGGGATCCGCCGCCCCCGCCCGCTCTTCGTCCCCCAGTTCGAGCCCGCTCGCCTCGCTCGGCGCCCCGACCATGTCAGGCGGCGCCGCGGAGAAGCCGAGCAGCTCCGCGAGTTCCCTGTTCCTCTCGCCGCCGGCGCCCGCCCCCAAGAATGGCTCCAGCTCCGACTCCTCGGTGGGGGAGAAGCTGGGCGGCGCGGCCAGCGACGCGGCGGCCGGCAGGACCGAGGAGTACCGGCGCCGCCGCCACACGATGGACAAGGACAGCCGCGGCGCCGCGGCCGCCACGACCACCACGGAGCACCGCTTCTTCCGCCGCAGCGTCATCTGCGACTCGAACGCCACCGCGCTGGAGCTGCCCGGCCTCCCCTTCTCGCCGCCCCAGCCCGGCGCCGCCGCGCCGCCGCCGCCGAGCGCCCCGCCGGAGCCCCCGCGCGAGGAGCCCTGACCGCCGCCGCCGCCGCCGCGCGGACCGCCCTGCAGCCGCCCGCCGCCGCCGCTGCGCCCGGGGAGCCGCCCGCCGCGGGCCCCGCCGCCCCCGCCGCCCCCGGCAGCGCCGGCCGCGACCGCCCGGCGTCCCAGCCCAACCATGTGGGGAGCAGAGAGGAGCCGCCGGCCGCCCGAAGCGGCAGCGGCGGCGGCAGCGCCAAGGAGCCGCCGGAGGAGCGCAGCCAGCAGCAGGATGACATCGAGGAGCTGGAGACCAAGGCCGTGGGCATGTCCAACGACGGCCGCTTCCTCAAGTTCGACATCGAGATCGGCCGGGGCTCCTTTAAGACGGTCTACAAGGGGCTGGACACCGAGACCACGGTGGAGGTCGCCTGGTGCGAGCTGCAGGTAAAGGCGCCGCCCCCCTTCCTCGCCGCCGCGGCGCGGGCCCCGCGTCTGGCCCCGAGCCCCTCGGGCGGGCTCGCCCTCCCGTGCCCGGCCCTCGCGGCGCCCCGGGTGGGAGTCGGGGGAGGCCGGCTTTGGAGGGAGCTTGAAAGGAGAATTTGGGGCATGCACCTCGGAGAGAGGGAGAGTGCGCGTAGCCATAGAGACCGGCTGCCGGGGAGGGAGGGGACGTCGGCCGCGTCCCGGCGCGCTGCGCTTCTGGCGTCCGGCCGGGGCACTGGCGTTAGTGGGGAAGTGTTTGAGTGAGGAAAGCACGGAGGCTTCTTGCCCCGCGCGCCGCGGTCCAGCAGAGGCTGTGCGTGAGGGGCTGCGGGAGTGCGAGATGCCCGGCTCTGCCCCTGGGGTCGGGCTCTTCTCGAAGAAGAGCGACCGCGTTCCTCATGGACCTGCCTTCGGAGGCGTCTGGGTCCGGTGGCTGCATAGGCATTTAATGCAAGCCCCAGGAAAGGGCTTCCTCCTCCGGATCAGTGCTTTGCGACTAGGAAGGTACAGTAGATGTTTGATGGCTTGATCGTGTTCCACCCAGGGACACTTAGGCTTTCTGCTTGCTAGCCGTGTCCTCACAACTCAAACGAGCATGTGAAGAGAACAGGAGCCCATGCAAAGCCGGAGAAGGGCTTTGAAAGCTGTAATGTCATTGTTGTTTTAAAGTTATGAAAAGGTCTTAAGGCCACCTTTTCCCAGGAGTCCAAAGACGTCAACGTGCTTCCTTTTAACTTCGCAGGAAACTTTTTTCACGGTCTAAATAATGGTGTGTTTTTCTGGTTGACAAATATATGCTAGGTTTCATTAGCTGGGGGGCTTGAGCTACTTGTTGCTTGGTCTGTAGCTGCTTGATTGGATGGAGCCCTCACCAGGAAGTGAACATTAGGTTATTGGAAGAAGTAGCGTTAGGCTGAATGAAAAAGCCAGCTCCATTATGCGTGACACATGCCATTCTTGCGAGGAACATACACCAACTTGAAATAGGACAGGAAAATAACTGAATGATCAAGGAATGTTTTCTATCCATTGACACGTTAACTTTGAATGTCAGCTTCCACATTACCCAGGCCATATCAGAGCGAAAGAGTGCTACCCTGGTGTGTGGAAGGATGGCAACGTAAACATTGACAAGTGCTTTGGGAACAGAATTTCTTAAGTTGTACATTTCTTAATGATCTAGAACTTCTAAAGCTTTGTGAAAGAAAAACTACTCAACTTTTTAGTGGTTTAGCATTGGGAAAGGTGGTCACCCTTTAGAAAAGAACAGGTCAAACTTTTATTGCTGTTGGTCAGTCATACTCAGAAAAAAATATTAAGGGTGTTTCCTTTGGTTTTACAGGTAACAGTTTAGTTTAGAGGCAGACACACACCTTTTTCTACCAAGGAAATCTGCATTTTATTCTTCTGTTACAGTTTCATGTATGAATTGGTGCTTTTAAAAAAATTTTCTGAATTGATTGTTACTTTCAAGACTGGACTGAGTAAATGTGAAGCACTTTATGGATTAATCTTACTAGTTTCAATTATTTAACGTTTAAGACTTCTCAGATGTAATGTGTTTGTTCCTCTTTATCACCTGGAGCTTTCTGATAGTTTAACTTAGAACTACTGATACAGTGGGAAAAAACTCTCATGTCACAAAAATATTTTGTATAAGCTTTCTCAGGTTTTCTTCATACTCAGGACTTTCGGGATTTTTTTCCCCCCCCCCTTTGGTCTGGGCGTGTATGTGGTCAAACTAAAGAGTATGTGATATTCTCCTATGTGATACTGCCATACTGTTTGGAAGCCAGTTGAGGATTGGCTGCGGAACCAAATGAATCCTCGCTCAGTGATTGGTACCCTGGTGTAGAAACTTTCATGTCTCACTTGACTCTCCTTCTGCAGTTTTTCATTTTGGTGTTTAAATGTGATTATCCTAGCCCAAGGATCCTTTGGAGTAGTTGGGCAGTATTGATTAATAACTCATTCAGTAGTTTGGGGTTTGAGTTTTTCTCATTTTGGATTCAAATTAACATAGGCCAAGGAAAGAAAAGAAACCTTTTTATTCAATGGATGTATCCTTATAATTACTCATATTTTTGTGTAGGAAGGCAGGAGAAATACTGTGTTCAGATGTTGAGTTAAAAACCTGGTGTATTGAAATTGGTAGAAATTTTTGTTCTGGCAACTACTCCATAAATAAGGAACGTGGAACAGAGCAGGTAAATGACTTGCTTAAGTTGCTAAAGAAGAAAAATTAACTTGGTTGGGAGTTATTTATTGTTAGAGCATTTGTAGTTTAGTAGATAGCTAATTAGTAAATATCAAATGGAGCAGTTTTGTTTAGGTATGATTTTTGAAGATGTCAAGATTTTTGGAGAAACCTCATATTGTAACCATGACAAATTCCAGCCTTCTGGTTCAGGTATTGTTGATTTTACCCACTTCAGATGGAGAAATAAATAGGTTTTGGTGGGGTGGAGAATGGGTGAGTATAGTACACAAATCAAACCTGTTTCCTTCAAGCTTATTTTTAGAGTCATACGGTGCATAGCTCTCCATTCAAACAGTAGCAGTTCTTTAGGTAATACTTTGATACCACAGGATCTTAACAGATGATAAGGTTGATCTTAACAGGACGATAACAGGTGTTTTTTTTTTTTTTTTTTTCTGTCTTTTTTTTTTTTTTTGAGGTAATACTGGTTTACAACACTCTATTTGATTCAAAGGCACAGGATCACACCTCCTCAGTTGCACTATACCCATCACCAAGACACCCTGGGCCCTCCACCATAGTCTTTCTCCTTTTTGTTTCTCCCCACTCCCTCACTCTGTCTTGGTAGCTTCAATTTCAGTCAGATTTCTAAGGGTTCCACATGTAAGTGAAAACATCCAGTAAACCATTTGCCTTTCTCCTGGTGTCTTATTTTGTTTAGCATCATCCTCTTTAGTTCCATCCATACTGTCACAAATGGCAAGAATTCTTTTTTTTTTTTTTTTTTAATAGTTGAGTAGTATTCCACTGTGGATACACCAAATTTTTCTATTCTACTCTTCTGTCCTGGGGCACTTAGGTTGTTTTCATAACTATTATATATAGGGCTGCACTGAACAAAGGAGCACATCTATCCCTTTGAATTATCAGTGCTTTTGCATTCTTCAGGTGGAAATGGAATTGTTAGATCAAATGGTGGATCTATTTTTAATAATTTGAGAAACCTCCATACAGATAACAGATCTTTTAAGATCCGGATTTTTTTTTTAACCTGGTTTTAGTAGACAAACGATGTACCTTAATTTTGATATACCCAGTTGCTGTCAGAAAACGTTATCGCTGGACTTTACAGAGTTTACATTGCTTTTCTAGGGAGGAATCTTGTGTTGTTTTTTTTTTGTTTTTTTTTTTAAGAAACAGCATAATTTGCTTTAAGAAAACGTACACAGATTGAACAACGATATACTTCAAGCGCTTTTCTCTAAATACGGGGTGCAAGTGGTTGGTATATTCACTTTTCAAACTGATGAGATTGTTTTCAGATATACCTAAAAGGGAAGGTCATCATAAATTTTGTTTAAATTCCAGTGTATTAGCTCTAGCTTTTCTCAGGCTTTTTAGTAAGGTAAGACTCATGTCCCATCATGAGTATGGGATAGTAATTTTTAATAAAATGTTTATCCGTGCTGCAGAAATGGGAGGTAAAAGGATCTCTGCGATTAAGAAACCATAACATTTCATTGCTATATTGAACCTAATTTTCCCATTGAATGTTGAGGATTTTATCCCCCTTTTAAAAATTGTGGCACATTCTATGTTTTTTAAGGTGAGAACCTACAGTAACTTCCTGTCCCAAGATAAGGTTACGGGGAATAGATTTTGGAGTTTGGGTTTTTTTTTTTTCCCTCTTTCTTTATTTTAATACTCAGAGCCACTGATTAGTAGTACTGGTCAAATTCAGGTAACTAAAGGGTACCTGCTAGGCTTCAAATTGAGTAAGTGATTGGTGAGTTTGAAATAATCCTTTGTCCCTTCTAGCAGGACAGTAAAAAATAAAATATGGGATTATTTTGCTTAGGTAAGTTTTGTTTTAAAATATATGTAGATTTATTGTTGAAGGAGGTAGCCTTTGTAGTACAGAAATTGAGAATTACATTCTGGTTTATTTTTAATGATGTACTTAGTCCTTAGTTCCTAGGGGGTTAAATGTCTTATTTACTTTTTTCCTGACCTTTAGTATCACAGTTCCTAGTGTAAGAATTTGGAAAGAGAAGTTGTTTTTGTGTAAAACAAATTGGGACTCTATTGTTGCCTGGTGACCAAGATCGTTTCTTGACTTTGAAATTCTAGTGCAAGATTCTGGTCATTTGAAAGTCATCCTAGTTAATCCCTATGGAAACATTCAGCTCTTTTCTAAAAATCATCCTATACAGTTATTTGGGTTTTCTGGTTAACTTAAAAATTTTTTAGATAAAAGTGTAAAAGCAGCAAGAGTGAGTATGCTCAAATTATGACTTCTGAAAATGTTACTATACCATGAAAAAATTCATAATAGGTATTGGGTTTTGCTATACCAGTCCTTTATAATTATTTTTAGCACCTTGCATTTTAATTATTTATTTATTAGACATGGGACCAATCTGGGAATAAGCTGAGACTTGCCATGACCTGAATTTAGATTTGAAGCGGACACTCTTTTTCTTCAATATAACATTTGCCTAGGAAGTTCACCACCTGAATTCAAATCCTGGTACATCTGTGTTATTTTGGGCAACTTTTATACTGGCTTCTTATCTTTAAATGGAATGTAATAAGAGTACCTGTTTATAGAGTAGTGATGATTGCGTGAATTAGCAAATATATATTAAAGATTTAGCACAGGGCCTAGTGCATAAATATTAACTATGATTAATATTTTAGCTATCATTTAATCTTTTAGGCTGTGTTTTTGATGTTTATATGAAGTTGTTTGATTTGTTTA